TTCTTTTTATCTGGAATTTGGACTGGCGTTTGGCGGCATCGGAGAACACAATACCCAATAGACCGAGATGTCCTGGCGTTTCGCGAACAGCCACGTGCTTTTGACGTTCTCATGAGAGCTGCGTTTCTCGATGCACGATCCATGTCTCGTGTCACTTCTGTCCATGGCGAACAGTTTCTCGTAGCTCACATCAACAGTCATTTGAGCGTCGCCTCATCAATGGAGAGTCATGCACCTGTTTCCATCAGGAGGATCATCCCGACGACAGGAAAAGGCATGCCAGGCACATAGGGTCCACTGGGGTCAGGCACATAGGGTCAGCCAGGCACATAGGGTCCACAAGTTCCCTCCCGTGCGGCACGCTGCTTGATGTGCTGCTCATGGGGATTTCATGTCTGTCATTCTTTTTGCAGCCCGCCCGACTTCTTCCAACGTTGACCTGATGTCAGACACTTGCCAGACCTTGAAGGGATCCCGTATACAGTGAAACCTCGAAAGCGGAGCCGCGCGATCCGTTGGTAATCAGTTTCGTGCTATACAGAGGATGGCAGTGCAGGTAAGCCCAGGGAGGTCTTGAGAGGCTTTATATATCAAGTTCGTCTTAACTGGTCCTGTCATAGAAAAGGCCCGATTCTTACTTACATTCTCTGTCCGCAATCCCTCCCACTCAATTGCATTTTCCAGCACTAGGCTTTATTGATTTACAATAGTGAATAATATCCTCTTGAGCATGGCTACATCGAGTTGTCATGTTCGTCTACTCACGACATCGGTTGTGTGAAACGCGTCGGCGTCGGCGCCCGTTGTGTCATGACGGGCCTGTATTGGTCCATGGTGGTTCGCCAATGCGAAGACGCTTCCTGCAGATGGCTCACGAGAGTGATGGCTAACGTAAGTGCAAATCAAACGGTTTCGTATAGGCGAGTCGTCCGAGTAAGGTAGGGAGAAATTTTCAACAGATCATGTATCACTATTGCGTCACTCAACACGTCAGAAGTTACATATCTCCGCCTCAAACTCATTGTTTCGATCATTCTCAGCCATGGCGCTCCTTTGAATGAAAGGTCCTTGCTGGTTGGTGGTGAAGCCGTGTTTGATGGCTTACTGCCGTCGTGATCCAGCCACAGTCACGTGAGTAGTCCTATTGGCCCGTGCGACTGTGAACGGTCGCACACGGGATGTCCCGCTGGTGGCCCGCTGGCAGCCTGGTGGGGCGTGACAAGACCTCGTAGCCTTGGCACCTACATACCTGGTCTACCTACCTGATCTTGCAGTACCAGTCTTCAATGACTTGGGGTATTATGTAGTGACGGGACTATACCTATATCTCTATCTACAGCTCATAGATACGATGTCATGACTATCCGACCATTCCCCTCACAGCTACGTCCGTTCCTTGAAAGGCTCTGGGGTGGACCCAATAGTCAGCGCAGGTTGCACCTGGCTCAATGGTCAGGTGAGCCTTGACCTCCTCATCCAACGTGATCGAGTGCATAGCCGTGGATTTGAGCATCCTTCACCACCTCCAGGCATCCATGGAAGCAGCGGGTTTCGCGATAGGCCTCGTCGGGCTCGCTGGACTGTTCAGCTCCTGCGTCGACGCTGTCGCACGGGCGCATACCTACAAGTCCTTCTCGAGCGACTCGCAAGCACTCGATCTCCAATTTAGCGCGACGAAGCTCCGGCTTGAAACGTGGGGCCGCGCCGTGGGTTTTGCTGGTGCGGGCGCCGTCGCCGCCGTGGGATACGATGCCCCGCTCCATCACCCGGCGCTTGATGATGAGCGGATCCAACGTGCGACCGTCGAGATCTTCGGCTTCGTCGAGCAACTATGCGAGGAAGCCACGAATGCGGGCAGATTGCGCTTGGACACCGCTGCCGACTCATCAGCGTCGCGCGACCCACGTATGAAGCCGAGCGGCTGCGGTGCCCGGCGCAAGCTGTCTTGGGCCATGGGGGGCCGATTGAGGCGCACGGAAAAGCTTGAGCTGTTCAAGGAGCTGGTGCAGACGCTGTACAACCTCGTGCCACCAGACGACTACGAGGCAGGCAGACCGGTTGCCAGCGCCTGGTCAACCGAGTTTGGCCAGATCATGTCCCGTCTCGAGGCCCGGGCCCGCCAAGACGTCCACGCGTGGCTGCGTCCCATTCCGGGCGAACGATACCATGACTCGTTACAGCGACGCCTGGATGGCACCTGCGTCTGGATGCTCAATGAGTCGCTCTTTCAGCAGTGGATGACATCGGAGCTGTCGCCAGGCCCCAGCATCTTATGGCTTCACGGCCCTGCCGGCTTCGGCAAGACGATCATGTGCGCCAACATCATCCAACACCTCACCACTACGCTCACGACGCCTACGGCACACTTCTTCTTCTCGTCCGACGCATCCAGCAGCCGCGACGACCCATTTCTTGCCATACGATCCTGGGTCTCTCAAGTCATCTCGACCCACGATGGAGCGTTCCAGCTTGCCCTGGAGCGTCAGGAGTGCGATCCTGACCCCATTGCCACTCGCCACACCATCATGTCGGTTTTCGAGAGCATCGCATGCCTGATGCCCGGCTGTACCTTTGTTCTGGACGGACTGGACGAGTGTACCAACATCGACGGCGGTGACCGGGACTCGGTCGTCGTCTTCCTTGACGCTGTCATGAAGGCACTCGCAGGCGCCAAGGCCAGGCTGCTGGTGGTCAGTCGTTTTCTTGCCGAGATTCAGCATTCGCTGCGCGGGGACGAGCCGGAAAGCCTTCGCGAGTACAAGCTGCGGCCGAGCCATGTCCAGGCCGACATTGCAGCCTACTCGCGCGACGTCGTTGAAAAGAAACTGCAAAACAAAAATACGGCACTCCGGGCCTCTCTCTCGAACACCATGGCCGAGAGGTGCGAGGGCCAGTTTCTGTGGATCAGGCTGCAGGGGGACTCACTGCGCAGGGGCATGTCCAAGAAACAACTCGAGGATGCGGTCAAAGACACGCCGACGAACCTGGAACGCGTCTACGACCACAGCTGGACGCTCATCACGCAGCTCAAAGACGCCGACCGGACGCGTGCCTTTGCCCTGCTTCGATGGGCTGCGTTTGCGCAACGGCCCCTAACAGTCGTCGAGGTTGTTGAGGCCGTTCTTGTCGAAGAGACGCAGCAGTGCGATGTCGACGACCTCATCGACGAGATCGACGAGGACTACGTCGAAACAGAAATCATGGGGCTCTGCGGCCCGCTGCTTGAAGTCAAAACCGACGTGGAACGCTGCGGCCACTGCACTTTGCATCTGCATCACTTCACCGTCAGGCAGTACCTTGCCGGCAGGCTTACGACCCCGGGCTGGGTCAGGTCTAGCCAGTTGCACGGCCAGGCAACCCGGGAGATGCTCCATCACACTTTTCTGGCAGAGGTGTGCATCCGCTACCTGGACTTGCCGCAAGTCTGGGCAAGACCGCTGGACTCTGCATGCCGTGCGCCAGGTTCAGCTTTCCGGGACTATGCCGCGAGTTTCTGGTACTACCATACCAAATCAGGCGTTGCGAGCGATCCGACACTCATGCAAGTTGCCATGGAGTTCTGCCATTCTGACAACGCACGCTGGATCTCCTGGAGAACGCTGCGCCAGATGGCATCGGGTAACAAGACCTCGCCCGCAGGACCCGTCCTTTCCGCGCTGAGGCTGGGCGTACCGGAGCTGGCCCTGTGCTTGCTGAAGACGGGCAGTATTCGGCTGACGACCTGGACTTCGGGCGCACCTCCGCATTCAAACCCGCGTTGCGCTTTCGGCTTGACGTCCGTCATTGAGGCTATGATTGGGCTGGGCGCCGACCCATGCTTCATAGACACCTTGGGAACGACTCCCCTAAGCTTGGCATCAGGCAGCGAAAATATCGAGGCAGTCAAGATCTTACTCCAGAACAACGCCAGTGCCCGGGTACCTAGCAAAGAAGACGGATCTGCGCTCTACCAAGCGTCGAGGTACGGGCCAGTAGATATCGTACAGCTTCTTCTCGAGAATCATGCCGTCGACACAATCAACGACACGGTCAGAGAGGAAATCACACCTCTTCACATTGCGTGCATGAACGGACACGCAGATATCGTCCGACTGCTGTTGAGCCATGGAGCGGATCCCTCCAAAAGATGCAGCACATCCCTAACGGCATTCGGGTTGGCGGTGTACAATGGTTTCGCGGAGATAGTTCGCATGTTTCTCGAGTACGGTGCCAGCGCGAAAGGCTCTGATGATGACAACGTCGATCCTGTGCATCCGTGTGCGCAATCTGGCCACCTCGACTTGCTCCATCTGCTCATCAGTCACGGGGCTGATGTGACTGCCAGATCAAAGACAGGCCGAACGGCGCTCTACTTGGCAGCCGCGGGCGGAGAGATGGCCGTCGTCAAGACTCTTGTCGAGATGGGTGTCGACGTCAACGCCCGAGACCAATTTGGGCACACGGCCCTCGTGGCATCGGCCGACATTGGTCATCTGGAAACAGTGACGTATTTGCTTGCGCACGGCGCCTGCTGCCATGCCGTCAGTAGAAGAGGCGGCACGGCATTGTCCGCGGCGGTGCGTTCGAATAATGCAAGCGTTGTGAGGGCAATACTCCAGCACAGCAGCCTATCTGCCTCGAGCGAGTGTCACAAGCCTCGCCAGCGGGAGAAACCGACATCGGACGAAGATCTCGACGCGCTGTCCGGCAATTCGGACGTGGCTGATGACAGGCTCGTGCTCGAACCGGCCCAAATGGTCAACATCATGAACACACACTATGGCCGTGGGAACGCACCAATTCATCTAGCGGCGCACAACAACAACTTGGAACTATTCGAACTATTGCTAGATCACGGAGCGGACATGAATGCGGTCCAAGCCGACGGAGTAACCGCATTACACACGATCGTCCAGTCGAACTACCTGGACCTCGCAAAGTCTTTGCTGCGGCGGGGCGTCAATGCTGATGTTGGTACGGTGCACAAGGCCATTCATTATGCAGTCACAGAAGGCCGAGCAGAGATGGTCAAGCTACTGCTGGACTCCGGGGTCAGTATTGAAAGTACCGATGTATTAGGAAACACGGCTCTGAACTGGGCAGCAAAGGACGGCAATACGGATTTGATTCGACTACTTCTCGAGCGCGGAGCCGATCACGCAGCCGTCAACGTGAATGGAACTACTGCGTTGCATATCGTGTCGCAGAATGGCCATACAGATTGTGTCAGGCTCCTCCTGGAGCACGGTGCGAATCCCGCAGCCGCCGATTCTATCGGAATCACCCCGCTACACTTCGCGTCAAGGCACGGTCATCCAGACGCCGTCAGATTGCTGCTGAGGCATGGAGCGAACATGAGGGCCACCTGTCATCACCGCTCAATTCCTCTTGCAAACGCTGCATATTATGGCCAAGTTGATGTCGTCAAGGTCCTCATTGAGCATAACGCTTCATTCGAAGCCGCCGACAACGCGAGTCCGCCACTACGCGTAGCGGTCTCCCAAGGCCACGCTGCGGTTGTCAAGTTGCTCCTGGATGCCGGGGCTGCTGTGGATGCTACCGAGATGGACGAATGTCCCCAGACGCCACTGCATACGGCGGTCATCGCGGGCCGTGTCGACATTGTGCAGATGCTTCTCGAGAAAGGAGCTGACGTCGCGAGACCTCTTGCCGAAGGGCCTTTGCCGTTGTACTCGGCCGCCTCGCATGGCCATCTCGAAGTGACGAGAGCTCTGCTCGACGCGGGGGCTGATGTCAGTGCTGCCGGAGGCCATCCAGTGGCAGGCTGGCCCGCTCTTTTCATTGCGGTGCATTCTGATCATGAGGCCGTCACGCGGCTGCTTCTCGAGCGTGGAGCTGACGGCAACTTTGCGTCGCAGGACGGCAATAGCCCGCTCCAGCTTGCGGTCAGAAAATCGCACACAAGCATCGTCAAGTTGCTCCTAGAAAATGGAGCGGATGCCAGTGGCGCCAACACGGCCAACGTTCTCAGGCCATTGTGTGTGGCTACGTGGAATGGTCAAATCGACATCATGAAGCTCCTGCTCGGCCACGGTGCCGATCCCATGGCCCCCAGCATGAACGGGCTCAGGCCGCTCGACCACGCCGCCGAAACGAATAACTTGGAAGCCATGGAGACTCTAGTCAAGAGTCGACCTGGTGCCGCTTGGGCGGCCGACAAGAGGGCCAGGTCGCTTGTGCATCGTGCGGCGCGATCGGGCCACGTGGACATGTTCAGGCTCTTCCTCGAGCACGGCGTCTGTGCCGCGCCTCACGAAAGAGCCGAACTGTTGCACATTGCGGCAAGATACGATCGAGACGCCATCATCGAGGCGCTCATCGCCGTGGCGGGCATCCCCTCTGTGGAGGTTGACTGTCGCGACGAAATGCAGCGCACGCCGCTCTTGCTTGCAGCAAGAGCCGGGCGTCTGCAGGCAGTGCGGTCCCTCGTCCGGGCCGGCGCGCGCCTGGACACGGCGGACTGGAAGGGATGGACGCCTTTGACGGCGGCAGAGCAGTGCGGGCGGCGGGCCGTGGCGGCGTGCCTCAAGAGATACCAAGCCGAGGGAGATGCACAGTCCACGCCGGGATCATTCGCCCCTGACGGTGACGACGAGGTGGTGGCGGCGGACGAGGCAGCAGAGCGCGGCCTCGCGTATTGCGACAGCTGCTTGCGAGACGTGCCTGACGATTCTGGTCAAGAATGCGCTCGCTGCGGCGATACTTTGTTTTATCTATGCGCTGAGTGCTTTGGAAAGGGTGGTGGATGTATAGACCCGGTGCACGAGTTTTGGCCTCCGAGGGATGCTGCGGCAACCAGGGGCTCTGCGGAGGCTGTAGCAGCATAGGGAATTGGTACGACCTCGCAGGCTTTTAGGCGAAGAAACAATGTCAGAGGGGTTTATCCTTGTACAGCAGAGGCTTAGGTCGTGACTCTAGCGATGGGTCGTACGGCGTTGCGTACGCGCTGCAATGGATATGAAGAAAGACCTGGATTGAGTACTATTGTGAGCAAGTCTGTACTATCAGTAGGTAAGGTCTTGATTGAGCGTCCTGTTGATACCCATCCAAGGGGGGGACAGATGAAGCCGCACTGCAAATCCACCAAACACAGGTATCATCCAGAAAACCTCCTAAGTTCGTAACCCTCTCAACAACTCGTATCTCGATTGAATGCTCTGGAATTTTGCCTACTAGATAATCGGCGATACTGTGAAGGGCAAATCTACTTTTATCATTTTTTGAGCCGATGTAAAGTGTAGTAGAACGGTGCAACGTGAGCTCACCTCTGAGGAGTGTGGCTTTTTTTGTTCCCCCCCTTGCCATCGCAGTGTCTGTGGTGGTGGTATGTTGGATGTCTCACTGTTCGTTCACAATATAGAGTATGATAATGTGTACTAAAATCGAATACAGAAGGAAATTATCCTCTCAATGATATCCACGTGACAAGGACAGTCCCTCGATAGACAGTGGCACTATAACGCATACCGCCACATGGCACACAACAGACAGAGCGCGCTATGCCATACCTCGGGACACGACTAGTCAATCGCTCGATCCACATCAAACCCACAAACGGTGGG